AAATAAATAAGTAACACAAATAAAATAAATCTCTTCATATAAACAAAATAAGGCTTTGTCTGTGCTCTTTCCTTTTAAAATTAGAGGCAACCACTGCATTTTAATCATGATCCAAACAAAGATGCAGCATACATGGAACACGAGCAGTTTTTAAACTAAATTAGATTGTATAATTTCGAAATTTGAAGCAAAAACAGAATAGTTTGACTTCAGTTTTGTGAAACTATACATAAAAATATCTGCATGAAAGAGCGGACGAGCTGAATAAGATGCAGATTCACTCTCTGCCAGCAGGTGGCGCTTATAGCGTTTCCTTGGTTTCCGCTGTAAACAAAGCAGCGCTGCACTTATGAACTTTAATATGCATTATACAGAGGCAAGAGGAAAAGAAAAAATACCATCTAAACTTTTCTAAACACAGTAAGTTCCCCTCAGACATGCATTCATATAAACTCCTACCCCTAATTGAATAGCGATTTGTTTAGCATCTCAACCGATTTGAATCGTCACATATTTGAATCGATTTTCAACCGGCTCGTGGTTAATCCTTACATCCCTAATGGTTGGTGATGTGTACAGCCTGAATGACAAACATTTGAATTGTATGGAAATCTGATGCACATTTCTCTTATAAAATCTTGATGGTTAGTTACCTGCAACATGTAGCGGAAAGACTGCCTTCTTTTGCACGCTGCCTTTCTCTGCTTTACACACATAGTCCCCTGAATCCTCAGCTCTTACTACGAGGCTCTTTGTGAAGGTTGTATGAGATTCATGAAGAACGGTGTTGCCTTTAGTGAGGTACAACTCAATATCTGGGGGATATTGCACCTTGCATGTGATCTGCACCCTGTCACCCTCGACAACATTCCCTTTGGGTGAGAAGCTTATCTGTGGGGTGATCGCATCAAGATCTGTAAAAAAAAGAGATTAATCTCACTTTTAATGTAAAATGAATCATCAAAATTTTTGATCTTAAAGACAAGATTCCATTGACAAACTTTTGTTTTGTTGCCCAAAGTGAACACAAATGTTACTTTTATTAGCAGGTTTCAAGTAATCAATATGCTGTTACCTCGTACAATAACTTTCACCATGTTGCTTTTGTTGGAGAGGCCAGCATTAGGGTGCATTATAACCATATAGGCACATTGCAGGTAGATTTCTGTGAGCTTCTGCGTGGTCAGAGTGGTCGTCACAGAGTTGCTGCTACTAATGACTCTCTTGACATCCAGATCATTCTCGTAGAAGTTGAAGATCAGACTGCCCGTCTCCTCTGGTGCACTGCACGTGGCAATAATGTCTTCCCCCTCAGACATGATGTCAGACTTCACATTCAGCATAGGGATCTGAAGACCTGCATGGGTTTAAACCACTGAATATAATCAGACACATCAACTAGACAATTTAGCAACAATGAAAACCATTGCTGACATCTGATAAAAAATTATGTGATGACAGCAAGCAGAACACAAAAGAATTCTCAAGTATCATCAGCAAATCTTGCCATGGCTCTGCGTTTTACTAGCAGGGCAAGTTCATAATCAAATAGCATCATTAAATGGTGGATCTGATGACGAAGCTGTTATCAAACATAATACTGATTCTGAAGGGGATGTAAACGAAAACATTTTAAGATTAGCATATAAAAAGGTTCAGATGCAATTGTTGTTAAAATATCAGTACAGTTTTATGCTATTAGCACAATTTAGAGATCCATCCGTGTTAGATATAATTATGAATATGTAATAATGATTGGTGAAACATTCATGCATTCAAGGGTTAAAAGGCCTAAACATATTTTGTTTAAACACACAGTCCTACAAAGGAGCAAAGGTTTTATTGAAAATATAGTGGATGACAACAGTTGCTAAAGTAGAATTGGTCAGTAATGCCTTTAAAGGGATAGTTCACCCAAAAATGAAAATTTGCTGTTCATTTACTCACCCTCAGGCCATTCAAGTTGTAGGTGACTTTTTTATTTTTTTTTGAAAACGTGGTCCTTGTTGATTCATAAAATGCAAGTCAATGGCTACTGTTATTTTGACAATAAAAAAGCATACAGAGACAAGACCAAATTAATACTCATTGCTCCTGACAACATATTGAGGTCTTATGAAGAAAAACGATCAGTCTGTGCAAGAAACTGAACATTATTTACAAAATGATTAGCCTACCTGTAATCCACAGCCTCAGGCAACTGGGAAATCTTATTCTTTTCCATGAACTGTTTCTTTCAGACAGTTTGTTTCAATGAGTTTGTTTCAAATAACCGAATGGCCAGTTTGTTTACATAATCACGCAATGATATAATGTATACACAATTACATTATTAAAGCAGCCAAAGCATATTAAGTGAATAAACTTGTCTTAATCAAATTATCTTTTTACATAAACCATGATAAACCATGAAAACCTTGCACAGACCGATCATTTTGCTTCATAAGACCTCAATATATCATCAGGAGCATATACATTTTGTGTTGCCTGATATGCTTTTTTTTATTAGTTTGGACTCAAAGTGATGCTAGCCACTGACTTGAATTTTATGAATCACCAGAGTTCCAGCTAAAAATCCTTACTATTCTTCTGAAGTAAAAAGGTCACCTACATTTCAGATGGCCTGATTGTGAGTAAATCAACAGCAAACTTTCATGTTTGGGTGAACTATCCCTTTAAGACGGGGCTTAGCGAGGGGTCATTTACTGTATGTTACTAACCTGTGACGCTTAATGACAGGATGTTGCTCGTCTTGTGCTTGTCGTAGATGTGGACACTGCACTGGTAGCGGCCAGAGTTGGACACCCTGGCAGAAGATAAACTGCGCTCCATCACTGAAGCACTGATATTTTTGGAGTACATCACCTGATCGTCCTGCAGGAGTCTGAAGGAATATGTCAGCGGCTGGGGGAGGCTCTGACTGACACTGGTCTCACAACGTAAGATCACGTCAGTGCCACTCTCCACATTATTAGCAGGAAGGACTGTCAGCGTCACCTGATCAATGGTCACTGCTGCTCAGAAACACCCAGAAATAACAAACACACACATAAAAAAAAAACACAGCTGGGTCATTCGGGCCATATTCAAAAAATTCCATAATTAAAAATATAAAATTAAAACATTAATAGAGGCAACAGAATATCAATAGATCATGAAAAACTTCTGTGTACATCTACAATGTAACTTCTTCAGTCAAAATAGCAGACAAAATCATGACAGAAGAGACACAATGTATTGTTTACTTACCTAAATTATTTGTAAGAAATTACTGAAGGAGTTATTTGAATGAAATAATTTAAACAAGTAGACATACTATATGTATAATATATAAACAACCTAATTAAATCATTTTGTAACATAATTCAAATAATTACATAAATATTTGTGAAGCATCATTGAGTTTTTGAAAGGCGCTTTATTAAGAAACAGATATTTCATATTTTATATGTCATTGTAAAATTATTTACACATTTAATCAGAAGATTCATCATCTGTGGTGTTACACAATAGTTGGCTCCTTAAATATAATCAGAAAAAGCTTTTAAAACTTTCTGTTTGAAAAGATTATACAAATAATTGCAATTTCAATGACACTTGTTGGCTCTGAAAAAACATTTTTTTTGTTAAATCTGCTGTGAATTCTGCACATCAACTTTTTGCAAGATTACTGTTTTTTTTTCTGTATTTTTGATCAAATAAATGCAGCCTTGATGAGCATAAGAGACTTCTTTAAAAAACATTACAAGTCTTACTGATCCCAAAATTTTGAGCGTTAGTGTATATAAATATATATTTAATATATATTTAATATAGTTAAATAAGTAAAAATACTTTAATGGAATTCATACTGAAACTTGTATGTCATGAATTTAAACATATTTGTAATTACACAAATGCAATAATGAAGTTTATTTAGAGAATAAATTTAGTACATTTTAAATATATAAACTTTAAATGTATTATTAAACAACACACTGCGGTTAAAATATAATCAAGTACATGTGCTTTAGTATGTTAGCCAACACATCAAAACATGTACTTCTTTAAAGCACGGCAAAAGATTATTGAAACATAATGATTTAAATGTATTTTAAAGTAAAACTTTTCATTTGACATTATTACAAAGTGCACTTTTTAAAAAGAAACTGTCATGGAAGTTTACTCTCTTTAAGCACACTTAAGTGGCCTTTTATTTTATAAATAATATACTATCTGCAAGTCCAATTTCACATTCAATTCAATTAAGCACACTTCTTTTCACAAGTGGTGTATTCTGGGATTGCCTTATCGGTCATGTGATGCTGAAGTTGGTTAAAAAGAGGCTTCGAACAGAGCCAGTACATTGTTCTCAAAGAAACGTTTGCTTGCTTCAGTTCACAAAAAACCCGTCAGTTGCCACTTCTAAAGAGTGACGATCTCTATGTGTTTACTTTGAGCAGAACACACAGTTCTTTTCCTGAAGTCTTAAAGGAGGCCAAAAGTGTGGAAAGCAGCGGCGTTCTGAACAGAAAGAAGCGGAAGGAAGGAAATCACATAAACAAACACCAAACATTACTCCCTCAGGAGTGCAGAGCCTGTGATTTCTGCCCTAAGATTCCCAACCTGGCCAACAAACACAAGCAGAGTCCACCACTACACACGACGTCACTTCAGTAAACACCACTAAACTCAATGGTGGTGGGTTGATTAGAAAGTTGTAGTGTTTGAGGCTTGGAATCTGCATCACTGATCATGTTTGAGCCTCCAATTAGACACAGACTAAACATCTTGCTATTGCACGAAGCGCAAACTTCCTGTGAGGGGCTAAACAGTGCTTGACAAAGTATCTCTGAAGGATCAAAGCATCCAAGTGAATCACAGATCTTCTCTGACTAAAAATACATCCAAAAAGTCTCAGAAAAGAACAGAAGTGTCATCATATTTCACTGCTCCCTTTCCCCAGCTATATAAATCAAGGTTAGTCTGAGGTAAAAATAACCCGACAGAAGCTGGTGTCCCGAAACTGTCGTGACCAAAGTGGTTTCTCTCCCATGCAAATACAAAGTACAAACAGAACCTGGAAACTGAATCGAGGACTTACCTGCATGTATGTCGGCCGCTTGCCCTGAAGATGAGAGCAAAAAGGAGAAAGAGGTGAGACAAATGAACAGAAAGAGGATGAGATGGTGTCAATCATCAGTTCGAGGTGTCCTTACACAGTGCGCTCAGGCTGATGCGGAGCAGGCCGAGCCAGAGAAGACACATGCTCATCCTCACAGGTGAGTGTTCATGAATGTGAAGGACGCACACGCGGGCGCTGGAGGATGAAGAGAAGGGCAGAATGGTTGCACTTAACACATGGAACCGCCTTTCTTTGTTTAACGTGGATCAGGAAACGTGTTCCTTCCTCAGGATGTGTGTATCTGAATGTTTCGTTCGTCCAGACCCCTTTCTGTTTATGGCGGGTCTCAAAGGCCTTCTGTTTCAGTGCTGTGCTGAAGACATCACAGCCATATATAAGATCAAGAAGATGCTTTTTGAGGCACATTAGCAGTGTGGCGTCCATCCAGCACAAACACGAGTACCATGGTAGCACCCTGTTTTTAACACATTTTCATATTAAGGGATTTTTTTTTTTGGGATATGTTTCACAGTTATGATTTTTGGGTTCAAACCAGACATTTCCGGATATTTCTATGGTTTTGAACATGAACCATGGAAATACCACACACACACACACACACACACACACACACACATGTTGTGTTTCCATGTTTTATGGGGACATTCCATAGGCATAATGGTTTTTATACTGTACAAACTGTATGTGCTATTGCCCTACACCAACCTTACCCCTAAACCTACCCCTTACAGGAAACTTTGTGCATTTTTACTTTCTCAAAAAAACTAATTCTGTATGATTTATAAGCTTGTTTCCTCATGGGGACCTCAAAAATGTCCCCACAAGGTCAAAATTGAGTAGTATTACTATCCTTGTGGGGACATTTTGTCCCCATAACGTGATAAATACCAGGTACACACATACACACACACACACACACACACATTGTCATTTACCAACTTTTTTTCAATGCTTCTTTTTTCAGTCTTTTTTAGATTCAGATTAGCTTAATTTAACTTTTATTTTTGTTTTAATACTTTTATTTTTTAGTTTTGGTACTTCAGCGTAGCTTATTGTTTTCAGATAGTTAGGCTACACATCTAATTTTGATACTTTTGTTATGTGCTTTTGTCATTATAATTATAATTATTATTTATTATTTTTATTATTTATTATAAATATTAAGAATTGTTATTTCAGTTTTAGCTGTAGTCATTTTATTACTTCATCTTATTTTATTTCAATTAGCAAGACAAGATTTCTAATTTTCAAGGTTTTCTTTCTTTTTTGTTTAGATTTTCTGATCTGATATTTAATTTCAATTTCAGCTTTATTTCAATTAACAATAGCTTTAGTTTTAATAGTTCTCATTTTATGTAACAGTAACAGCACTGTTTTTGGAGGTGTGTGACATGGTATTACCATTTTTTTTTTGGCATGTTTCCATTTTGGACATGTACTATGTTACATGTACACTGGTTTGTTTGGGCATTGCACCATAGTAACACCTTGCATTTCTAGACATGGAACATTATATTACTACGTTTGTTTTTAGGCATGTACTGTACCATGGTAGTACTTGTCCAAAAATGTATATGTATATTTATACCATATATTTTTATTTTGACATGTATCATGTTATTACCATGTTTTTGAACATGGCATGATAATCCTATGTATTTCATGTATTTGATACCATGTATTTGATGAGCAAGGTAAATATCATGGTACATGAGAATGATGATCTTTTACTATCTTGTCCATGGTATAACCATCTGATACAATCACGGAATGAGGCTTATAAACATTAAGACTTACAAGTCAAACCCATCTGTAAGCAAAAGTATCATCCACATCCTTCAACACAAAAGGCCACAAAAAAGCCTCTGCAAAAGTGCCCTTGACACCATGAGGCATGCTGGGTACATGACAGGAAGTCCATGATTAAAGAGAATGAGTTGAAAACAAATGTCAATATATGCCTCTGGCTCGCAGGCTTCTGAAAGGAGATTGCAGTGTACGAGTACAACCACTAGCTGTCGCTCTAGGTTTACAGAGAGGATGTTGACTGCAGAGAAACTGTCTATAGCCTTCATAGAAGTAGATATTAAATCAGTAAAATGCTTCATCTCTTCATGATCAAAGATCAGAAATGAGCAAATAGATCTTTCTGTCCCTAAACTCCTGTCAAAACAAGTTGTGATGCTTTGGATGAGAGAATTAACTGAAGCTGTCACATTCACTGCATTTATGTGACGCTTTGAGCCTCTATTCATGGCAGTTCCTCTCCTCACTCGCCTGAGGGAACTCTTGAATTAACAGTGCTAAATGATTCATGCTGTATGTTTGAGCTTTAATTGGGCGTCTGCCTCGCCAGCAGCACACCAGCACAACCAGTTTGGTCTCTGCAGTGAATTACCTCAGGTTTAGCACAGCACGCAAACACAGGATGTCCTGCTGCCCACAATGCCCACATGAAAATAGATGAAATGATCACCAAGGCAGAGCACATCGAAGAATCAGTGACTCTACTGTTTTTCTGCTTTAGCTGCCTGTAAAGCTCTGCTGTTCTGCAGCATGTTGACATGCATTCACCCCAGATGTGCTTGTTATCCACTGACACAATACAATGAATTTTAGCAGTTGGAAAATGGGATTGTGGCCACAACACTGTATATAAACACTACTGTTCAAAAGTTTGGGGTCGACAAAGATATTTTGTGATGATTTTGAAAGACGTTTATTTGAAGAAAAATTAAGTAAAAACAGTAATATTGTGAAACATTACAATTTAAAATAAATGTTTTCTATCTGAAGTGTCACATGATTCTTCAGATATAATTTGAATATACTGATTTACTTCAGTATAAAGTAACTTAACTTAACTTAACTTAACTTAACTTAACTTAACTCTTTCCTATATCCTTTCCTTTCCTTTCCTTTCCTTTCCTTTCCTTTCCTTTCCTTTCCTTTCCTTTCCTTTCCTTTCCTGTATTTTCCTTTCATTTCATTTAATTTCCTTTCCTTTCCTTTCCTTTCCTTTCCTTAACGTAACTTAACGTAACTTAACTTAACTTAACTTAACTTAACTTAACTTAACTTAACTCTTTCCTTTCCTTTCCTTTCATTTCCTTTCATTTCCTTTCCTTTCCTGTATTTTCCTTTCATTTAATGTCATTTAATTTCCTTAACGTAACGTAACGTAACGTAACGCAACTTAACGCAACTTAACTTAACTCAACTCTTTCCTATGTCCTTTCCTTTCCTTTCCTTTCCTTTCCTGTTCTGTTCTGTCCTGTCCTGTCCTTTCCTGTCCCGTCCTGTGTTTTCCTTTCCTTTCCTTTCCTTTCCTTTCCTTTCTTTAAATAAACTTAACTCTTTCCTATGTCCTGTCCTTTTCTGTGCTCTCCTTTATGTTCCTTTCCTTTCCTTACCATTACCACACTTTTCCTTAACTTTATGCTATGCATCTTACCTTTCTGCACATTTTTCCCACAGCAAACGGTTCCTTTCTTACTCACACCTTTCCGCACATTACATTTCCACAGCACAAATTGCATTTTGTGGTAAATAAAGCATGCCCGATTTAGCATTATTGGAATGCCTTTTCTAACAGTGCATTAGATTTTACAAGACATCATAATAATGTGAGTTATACCTTTTTTTTTGAAACATGCTTTGTGTCAGGAACACACCTACGATGCCTTAAAATACTTTCACTATGTTATGGAACAGAGCCTTTGTTTTACATTTGGCTCCTCACATCTAATGATCCGTAAATTGTTAGCTATAAGCAGCAGGGAAATAATGATTTTGCAGATGGTTTGAAGCAACACAAATTTAGTATTGTAGCAACTCCTGTATTAAAGTGCAGGCTTGATTTATTTTAGGTCCTGGCAGAGCTGTCTTGACAGAGGGGTCGTGCTTTGAGGGTCCTGATTAATGGTTCTCCCTGAAGCTGCAGTGCCTGCGCTGCCTGGGTCGACCCGTAAGAGAGAGCGGCTCCTTTTCCAGCACAGAGCGGAGTTATAAAAATCACTCAGGGTCTTAATAGTGGCTGTCATAGCGGCAAAGAGCACCAAGGTAACAAGCTGCATGTGGGAAAACAAACTGGAGTGAGGATAAATATTTCAAGACCAACATTACCAAGCAAGTTAAATAAGACTAAACGGCAGCCGATAACTCACACATGGTACTTGAATTTGCCATTATGCTTTGCATTATTATTTCAGCTATTTTCTCACTTATAGCATGAGCCGCTAGTAATTCCTTGATTTGTTATGGCAGATTTGTAAGGAATTTGAAGTTTACAATGCAGCTAGCAAACGTACTCGGTTACTAACGTAACCTCGGTTCCCTGAGATACGGAAACGAGTACTGCGTCTTGCTTAAGACGGGGCATCTGGCTATATAAGCGGGCGCTCGCCACAGGATTCTCAGGTTTACTTCGACTGAAGCGACGGAGAGGTACGCTGACGAGGGGCCTGTCAGCGCCCCGGCAGGAACCATTCATCCAGACGGCTGCGAGAGGGCTCCTCTGGAGGGGACCACTCTAAACCCAGCTGTTCGACTGCCTTGGAGAGGATACGGAGAAGCTCGGTATCCGTCCCGTCTTTGGTGGAGCTGGGCGTGGATGATGGCGAGGGGGTGGGGTCATTTTCCGAGCCCAACAGCTCCGCTGCATCCGATGCTGCCAGTGACATGCTGTCATCGAGCAGCTTGTCTCCACTTCCCCCAAATGAGATCAGGTCGCTCGCATCAGCAGAGGGACGCTGATCAGACCGGGAGAAAAGGACGGGTGAACACTCTCTCTGCGGCGAGAGCGAGGCACGCGGGATCTGGGCCGGCGTGAGCTTGCTCGTGGCCGATCGCTCGACCCCTAATAGAAAACGGGAGGGCACGGGGGGCGGAGTCGCTCTCTGAAAAGAAAGCAATCCGTGAGCGGAGAGAGGCGAGACTAAAACTCTCGCAATGAGAGCAAATAGCTCCCGTGAGCGCAGCTTCCGCATGGGGTTTCCCCAAGCAGGAAACGCACTCCTTGTGGCCGTCATCAGCATGCAGGGGAGACCCGCACGAGCCGCAGTAACGGCGCGGCATTTGCAACAACGCCGCTGCTCTTTTAGAAGCTCTTTGAAGTCGCCGGATGGCGGCAGGGGAACCGGACCGGAACTGCTGCGTCGCTGGAGAAGCGGAGAAGCAGGTCA